TTTTTTTTTTTTTTAATACTTTTTTTTAACCTTTTACCCCTTGTCAATTTTCTGGTTGAAAATTTTCTAAAGAAGGACAAGAATTATGCAATAATTATCGGCATGGCCGCCTGTTTTTAAAAAAAAAGCCCCCTAAGCCCATTACTATTACAAAGTGATTTTCCTCGCTCTCATCCTTTTAGGTTATGATTAACTCCGTCCTGCTAAAGTCAAACTTAATCCATGCTGCCGGGTTCGAGGAAGGAAATTAAAAAAGAAGGAAAAGGCAGCCGGCCACTAGGTTACGACTCCGTACGGTGTCCGGTTACCCTTCTAAATCAACGGAGTCCCTAACCCACACGATCGGGTCCCCCCTGTCTAGACTAGCTGGGGAGGAATGGCATGAGCCTACCGAGTACCAGGCTACTTTAAGTATAATTCTTTTTCTAGTTCCGTGGCACCGAAAGTATCGAATTTCGCACTGTTTCATATGCGCGGTCTGCACTGCATATGGTGATAATTATAACTTGGATCGCCATTATTCTTCATCAATATCATTCCTATCACCAGTCTTCTTGTAAATATTGATCACCAATAAGCCGTCGAGTTTGGCTCCTATCTCTTGGTCTCTTCTTCCAACTGATCCTCCCGGTTGTTTGATTTTGAAAACTAATAGCCACCCCACTCGAGGTCAATTTCCTAGCCCCAGAGCGCAGAACCCGTCAGTATGGGTGCAAGGCCGGCTGTAAGCCTTTCCCTTTCTTAGTTCCATCACAATCCCTCTGTTTCACGCTCAGTTGTTAAAAGTAACGGCTGCTTTCCCATAAATCCAGCCCTCATCATCTTGCTTCGTACCACTCAAGTGACACTCACTAATAATGTCTCAGGAATCTAGTCGTGACTAGTAAGTCTCTATTATTCACCTCATGACGCCTGTCCAATTCAGCCATGGACAAAGTAGGACTGAGTTGCTTGGAACCTTGGAACTAATAGCTGTAAACAGTGACACTCAGTCATTGACAGCCAGTGTAACAGATTATCCCATTGAGAATGGCAGACGATACCATAAGTACCATGAAGGATGTATGTTGTCTGCTCTTGATAACATGATGTTCTTGAGCTCTCTGGCTAACATTTTCAGCGTATATATACCCGAACGATGAACAGGAGCTGGATCGGTTGGACATGCAACACCATATGATAAAAATGGTCAACGACGGACGCCTGTTTCTTGCTCCACTAGAACACCCCAAGCGAATCCTTGATATCGGCACTGGCTCTGGAATATGGCCCATCGAGATGGGTAAGTATTCCTTCCGTATCTCGACGCCACTTTCGAGCAATCCCTTACCATTTTCTTTCTACACAGCGCCCGTCTTCCCAGAAGCCGAGATAATAGGCACCGATCTTTCACCCGTTCAACCAAACGAAGTTCCTGAAAACGTTCACTTTCTAGTGGATGATGCCACTGAAGATGAATGGTTATGGGGCTCCGACCACTTTGACCTCATCCACACAGGGCACATGTCAGGATCCTTACCCTCATTTAAAGAACTCCTACGCAAGGCTTTGAATCACCTGAAGCCAGGAGCTATATGGAATGCCATGAATTCGACCCGAAACCAAAGTGCGATGACGGCACAATGCCACCGGACGACCCTGAAAAGTTCAGTGAATTTGCTCTGCACGACTGGTGTGATCTAAACGTCCGCTCTGGCCAGATCACAGATCCCCCACGGCAGTTTCGCGTAGCCCACAGAATTGCTCGTTGGATGAGAGAGGTTGGATTTGTGGATGTACAAGAACGCATCAAGAAAGTTCCAAACAACCCATGGCCTACCGACCCGCACATGAAAGAAATTGGCAAATGGAATGAGGCAAACTGGCTGGAAGCCTTATCGGGATGGTCTTACAAACCTCTTACTGCCTTGGGCTGGTCGAAACCTGAAATCGAGGTATTCCTGGTTGACGTCAGGAAAAGTATCCAGAACCGCGACGTTCACAGTTACTTGGACTTTTTTGTCGTGACAGGACGAAAGCCACTACCAGGGGAGCAAAATCCATGATGCATCCCCTCATCACTTCTCCAAACTCTCCTGTTTATATACACTTTTGACCTTACTTTTCTCTCGATTTGTTGGTTTTATTGGCGTGCATTAGCATAAGATACCATTGACTGAAAAAAGTTATGCATGGGAAGGCGTGCAGGGCGCTCTTCCCCTTTATTCACTGTTGCTTGCCACATCCTCCTACTCCTCCGCTTTGCTTTTCTCTTTAGTTTCTCTTTGGCTATTTCAATCTTCCTTCACTGCTAAATATATCCCATGGCTTTGAAAAGAGCATCTGCGCTGAAGACTGTCATTAAGCAGTCACTAGCTCAGGGCTGAGAAGACATCTGAATGAATGGATCTATATATATAGTCACAAGGGCCATAGTTGCCAATATTTTGCAATATAAGACGACCAAGAACAACCAAGGCACCATTATCTGGGTTTCTATGCAAGGGCACAGAAGTGCAGCCTGAGGTATGTAAATCGGACAATTCTGGTTGGTGCGGACCATAGCTTAGTCAGCCCGACTGGGGAACTCCGTGAGCAACTTTCCTCCGTCAACGATTCCGTAGTCACCCATAGCTATCGACAGCTCTCGGGCATTCAATTGCTGTCGCATGCTTTCGTTCCCTCATGTCTTTCGGTAGACATGCATATAGGCATGCTGTACCGCCTTCCTCACACTCCTTAGTTGATCATGTATGGATTAGCGAAGATTTCCTCGCGTCAACGTTCCGACGGTTCGCAAACGGCCAAAGACGCTATGAGAGCCGAGTGCCGGGACCTCTAGAAGCACGGAGACGGCTAGCAAAAAGAAGGAATACTGCACTGGCTAGTCTAGCGGGGTCGGGGCCACTGGATGACATTGGGTGTTTGTTTGGGCGCAATGGACGGGAGCACATGAAATGGGTTGGTGGGCAATCACGGAACGCACCGCGTGAGGCTCAAGGTAGGCGCCCATCGGATAAGAGTATATATGCTCAATTGGCATCCAGCAGAGTATCTAATGTATTTCAGGGTCAGCTTTTTACGCAATGGGTGCACCGGCTTACCCTTTGCCCTTTTACAATGAGACCACCGAATCGAATGAACTCTCCAGATCATCCGGGTGGCAGGGATCTTCATATCTGGCCGACAAGGCGTCTCTCGAGCAATGCTTGGCGGAATCTTTGAAGGACTGTCAGACGATAACAGCCATCAAGGATGTCGTTCGAAGACTGCGAATCGATCTTCAGCAGGAGCCTGCATACAGCCGGCTAATATTCGAGCATCTACTGTCGCAATCGATCAACCACATGTGCGCCACCGACGGGCTCATTGAGTTTTTAGATGATCCGCACTTGAACACTCGGGGAGCAGGGAATTATCTTTGCACAGTGGAGCATTTCGTTTCTCGCGGTGCAGACCTATCCAAACGGTCCGTTCTCCTAGGCAACGTTACTACGGCACTGGAGCTGGGAAGAGTGCCTGAAAATGAATTATGCCAGATCATAAGGGTTCTGTTTGAAAGAGTCATTGGAGATGATGTGGTGAGACAACGGGACGCGAGAATTCTGACAGCTTACTATAGGGGGATGTGGGATGCGATTGGAAGGTGCAATATCTACGAATACGAAAACCTGGATACAGAAACAATTGAGGCATGGCTGGAGGGATTAGAGAAGATGGACATGTACGACTCTTTTATCTTGGCAAGAGACATAATCAGCGCGACACAAGATCGTTCTTGGGCTCCGTTGTTCATTACACGGTTCTTGAAGTTCTCCTTGGATCATAAAACGGACGGTGACTACATAAGCGGGCTCTTGAATTGCTTTACACCTGATGAGGCCTCTCTTTGCATAATCTCTGTTACCGAATTACTGGCTGCGTCCCGGAAACAGCACCTGTTTGAGATGTGGCAGGACCATTTACGCCGTCTTCAGAACATCCCCGGCCTTGTTTCCTCGTCTGCCTGGAGTGACATGCCAGTCACCACATCACTCAGTACCTCTTGTTTGACACAGGAACAACGGATAATTTTGCGACTTTGGGTCTTGCGAACCTTTAGCGAATACCTTCCTGAAGGGCCACTATGGCGACATGTTGTGAGGGCCACAGATTATCCTGTATCCCGCCTTCTGAGCCTCTACAAAAGCCGCGTGGACAATTTCAACACAGAGAGCTTTTTGAGCAGCCTCGTAGGAGGAATCCATGACCTGGGTATACCACCTAGCGGTCTTTTGATGCTATCCGTTCACTTGACTACCGGAAAGCGGATGACGAAAGCGACCCGGCGTACTTTGAATAGGCTAGAGTCATCAAACGTCTCACTTCTGGACATCTTCGCAAATGGGGATGCTTACAGGAAGACGGTTCCTCACCTCTTTTCGGACTTCGAAAGGTTGGTCCGGCAAATTAATGTTACCAGCCCTTCATTCCTGGAGAACAGTATCCAGATTGCAAGTACCGGCGATTCTCAGAATGTCTGGACTTTAATTCGGCTACTCCGTTGTCACACACCTCTGAAGATCGCCTTGTCAAGATCATGGGGACCTATTCCAGACGCTTCTCAAAAGGCCCTTGTACGCTACTATCCGGAGGCTAGAACCAGCGAGTGCCCAGATCCCCACGCCGCCCTTGATATGGTGCACCTCATCGCCATATCTATTGCTAGCTCGAAGCAGCTGAGTGCACGCCGTGCTTACGGCCTGATTCAATGGCTCTATCGTTTCTTAGTAAAACACGGTGCGCCCGTGAAACCTTCCCTTGTGCGTGCTATGTACCATGTCGGGGTGGTACGGTACCGAAGGGAGGGGCTGCGCCTTTCATCCATGCAATACGCATATATATTAGATCTTGTGGAGGAGGTCGAAGGACCCGAAGTCCTAGATATCATGGTGCCAAGGGTTGGCCAATCTGATTCATACGCTAGTCAGCTTGAGTTGCAATGACCCTCGTCTCGTCTTCTCTGGAATTTAAAAGATAATACGGAACGCTTGTGTTCTGTACAAACTTTTGGAGCGATTATGAAATATACCCAGTTGTCTTTTGACGTTGTGTATACTACATTACTTTTGTAAATACAATTATGCAATTGTTAGCAGATAAATTTGATCGGTTGAATATCGAATGAGAAATGTGTTCTCCAGTATTCAACCAACACTTACCGACTGTCAGAGGGGACCTGTATATTTACACGTGTTTGGTTCGCAGGCTCTATACTGAATAATAATAGAAACCAAAACTATCGCGAAATACTCATCATGTAATTCCTTCGTGCGTGATTCAGTGTAATAAATAATAAGGCTCTGATAAATATCGGTTTACTTCCTACCTCACGAGTCCACCTCCATCAGATTAGGGTCCCCGGAAGCCTCTTCCACAGTGACATATTTCCTCATATCCTCCTTGCTAATAATCTTCTGGTTCAAATAGGCCGTCGTGCCTCTGGGGAAGCGGTAATTGCGTTCCTTTTCACCACGCTCGTTGGGCTTGATATAGTTCCGCAGGAGTTGCGTGGGCTTGTCCTTCTCAATGACACAAACGTCGACATTGCTACCCGATCCCAAATCGTTGAAAATACCAGCCTTGATCGCCTCAGCACAGAGCTCGACCGCTTCCTCGCGGTTCAGGTTTGCCTTCCACGTCGACTCAAAAACGGACATGGCCGCCAACGATCCAGAACCCATAGTCACATACGGAAGTTTATCTGTCGAACCGTGGGCGTGGACTGTGTACAAACCGGTGCCAGTCGGGTCAACACCAGCTACTACCAGATATGCACCAATGTGTCCCTGGTAGCGGAAGAGGTGCTGCTTCAACATGGTCATGCAAGTGATTACTCGAGGGTCCCGGCCCGTTGAGAGGGAGTGCAGTTCGATGTTTGAACTAATCAGGGCGGTGGTGAACTCCGTGTCTGCAGCTGTACCAGCACCAGCACACCAGATCTTGGGCGAAATATAATGTAACTTCTCGCAGTTCTATATATCCCCCCAAGTACTATTAGTAAAGCTGCTTATCACGTAATGGTGGCTGCCACGGAAGACGGAGGATATGATAGGCTTATGATCGGGTCGTACCTTGTCCGCTACGATGGGTCCGCTAGTAGCTCTGGTATCTGCCGCAATCTGTGATGAGGGTCAGCTTCGAAAGACAAAGGGTTGCAGGATCACGATCAGAATGCGGGTATAACATACCACAACACCATTGTCAAAGATACAGCCCACAATAGTGGTACCTGTGCTTGTAGCCTTAGGTAGAGGCACTCCCTTGGCGTGGAGAGCCGCGTTGCGGTTGTAGTTGGAGAAGTCAAAGCCGGTCATGGTGTCGGCGTGGAGTAATTATAGATTGGATAGAGGGACGGCCAAGTGGATTCAAGATATGAAGGGCTTCACCTTATCGAGCTATGCAGGACAGGCGGGTGATAAGGAAGGTGACGGGGATGAGAAGGAAACAGCTGTAGCTAGTCGGTTGGTGATGGCGGCGAGGTCGAGCTGGAGTGACGAAGCTCCCGCAGCCTGATCTTAGTGCCTCAGGCATTAAAGACGCTCGGCCCGTCAGAAGCTCTTGCTGTTTTTGCCCGTCGAGATCGTCCGCCGCCATTGCTTTTAATTGCTTGCCTGCTGTCAACTACCAGTCACAGAGCCGCGTGGCTTTTTTTGTTTACATCGCTCGGTTTCGGTGTGCAGATTTTACTCTGTAGTATACCCATCCTCTCCCTCTTTACAATTCTCCCTTCCCTAGAGGGGAGGTATTCAAGATTTTTGCGCGCACTTGGCAACTTTTTAACCGGAGTCCCCAAGCACTCCAGCGTCGCTCATTTTCATCTTTACCACAGAGCCCCCCTTCTACCCATGCTCCAAAGAGCAGGGTATCATTAGGCGACCGTCCCCGTTCAATATCAGCCGACTTCGACAGACTAAGAATGGCTTTCAGCTTCGGGGCGTCCAACCCCGCCGGCGGCAATATTCCAGCGGAACTAGGATCTGAGCTCCCAGATGTCTATGCTGAGGTCTGTCGCGATCCTGTGCTTGCCATTGCTCTAGATCGCCGCAGACGAACTAACTGTGAATACAGGAAGTCGGTTTCAAAGGTGTCTCGAGCGACAGCAACGTCCGATTACTTCCTACCCCTTGGCCTGAAGATGCCCTTCCGGCTCCATCATCCTCACTTCTAGCTATCGCGCCCACGAAAGGCGTCATAGTCGGTGCGGGCCCCGACTCATTGGCAATTGCCTCCTCCGACGCAATCAGGAAGGCTATTTCTGCTCCCACCGAAGACAAGGCCAAAACAAAACCCTTCCAACCACAAGCAACGATACCCCTTCCTGCACGTCCCACGCATATAGCCTTCACTTCAGGTGATGACGCCCTAGTACTAGCCACAGAGAATTGCTCTCAGCTTGTGGTCTACGAGACTACGAGTTTGTCGACAGGCAATGCGCAACCAGCCTTATCCATCCCAACGAACGGTGCCACTTTTCGATCCCTTGCTCCGAATCCTGCGCCACCATCGGATGAGGCGCATTCGTCACTTGTCGCGCTCGTCACAACTAATGGTGAGCTCTTAGTTGCCAATCTCAAGGCGGGAAACCTAGTTTCGGGGCCGAATGGCAATGTCTTGAAGACTGGGGTGAGCTCCGTCTGCTGGAGTAACAAGGGGAAGCAACTCGTTGCTGGACTTGCTGATGGAACGGGTTACCAAATGACCCCAGATGGTACTCAGAAAGACATGATACCACGTCCTTCTGATCTAGAGGGAAACTGTCATGGTAACGACCAATGCTACGTCTCATAGGTTTTTCAATTAGCTAACTGAATCTAGTGTCGTCTATTGCTTGGCTAGAGAACGACATCTTTTTGATGGTGTATACACCGAATGATGCCGAGGATGAATCCGGTCAAACGCCGTCATCTTCTTATTACGTTATCACAAGAAGGAAACAGGCACCGTTTCTGATTCAAAAACTACCTGAGTTGTGCATACCTTTTGGAGTCAAACGCGCCCCGGCATACCAGTTCATTGCACGTCTGAGAGACTATAAGCCACACCTAAAGGATGTTTTAATTGTTTCTTCTACCGCGTCCACCGATGTTGGTCTTGTGACGAGGTCAGAGCAACCATTGGCAAGTGACGATGCAGCCAAGGCCACCATTAATTTGTTCACCACGACTGAACTTAATGACGACACAAAACGGGCCTCTCCTCCACTTACAGACTCCGGCGAGGAGACTTCAGTGATTGGTCTGGGAATCGACCTGAGCAGCACAGAAATTGTCGTCTCCCCGATTGCGGGCGAAGATATTTCTGAAAGCTCAACTCCCTTGCCGAACCTCTTGCTTCTCAACAATGAAGGTATCCTCTGCTCATGGTGGTTCATATACTCCGAGTCTATTCGTCAGAAACTTCCCTATCATGGCTTGGCCTCGGTAGCCCAGTCCCAGCCCCAGCAGCAGGCGCAACCACAGCCCCCCAAACAGCCTGCGTTTGGACAGTCCGGTTTCGGCAGTCCATCTGCACTGGGGGCACCTTCTCCGTTTGGAAAACCCTCTGCCACGCCGGCATTTGGTAGCACTTCGACATTAGGAAGCCGCTCACAACCTACATTTGGGGCACCTTCATTTGGAGCCCCGTCTCAGATAGGATCCCAGGCGAGTCCTTCCTTCGGCACTCCGAGCACAATAAACCGTGGGGCCTCCCAGTTTGGTAAATCCAGTTTCGGATCGATGGGCACACCGTCAGCCTTTGGACAACCTTCGACACCTGGGAAGGGATTTGGTTCCTTCTCGGTCGGAACTCCGGGTGCTACCTCTGGTGGTGGCTTCGGTTCATTTGCTAGCTCGGGAGGTTTTGCTGGGCTTGCGGCATCTAAGCCAGCTGGGGGATCGCCTTTCGCGAAGACGACTGGAGAAAGTCCCTTCTCGAAACCTCCGGTACCGTCGGTGTTTGGTAGCCAGGCTAATACAAGCACTACTTTTGGTTCCCAAAAGGCAGAACCAGCAAAGAACCCGTTCGGTCTTCCAGCTGATGGGTTCAAATTAGAACCCTCGTTTAAGGGCGACGGTACTGCTGTCAATGATGGCCCCAAACCAGAGAAACCTTCCAGCGGACTATTCGGGTCTTTCGATGAGATGGTTTCTACGCCCACTAAAGCTAGCCCGCCCACAGAGTCCATGGACGACATGGAAGATGAACCTACCTCCAGCCAGCAGGAGAAACCGGAGGCCAACAAGCCAGCGCCCTCATTGTTTGGGGCGCCGACCAAATTTAACACACCTGCACCTTCGTCGCTCTTTGGTACTCCCAACAAACCTCAGCAGCCTTTTGGTGCAGCCCAGACGAACAAATCTCCCTTCTCAATCCTCGGTAATTCTGAAAAGCAAGCATCGATCCCTCTGTCTCCGCCATCAGACAAGACTCCCGTCGCTAGTCCACCCTTGAAAAAGGAGGATCTTGCTGATGATCAGAAGACTCCTGATGCATCGGAAGAGCCACCACTGCCTCCTGATCCAACAAGCAAGGCCTCCTATGGACCTGGTGACACTTCCGCTTCCTCCCACGTTTCTCAGAGCTCCATCGACGACGCACCTCTTCCTCCTGACTTCACTACACAACCGAAGTCCACTCCACAAGATGACGGAGGAGAACTCCCGCTGCCTCCTGACTTTACATTAAAATCCAAGAAAGAGGAGCCCGAGGATGCTAAACCCGAAGAGGCACCACTTCCTCCTGATTTCACCGCAGTAAAGCCGTCGCCCGCTCCTGCTGATATTCCAGCCCCTATCCCTGATGACTCAGAAGCGGAAGGAGATGAATCTGAGAAGGAATTGAGCGATGTGGAAGACGAGTCTGATTTCGGTGACAGTGGCGAGGATGTTGCAGATGCTGAGCAACAGGAAGAAGAATCTGAGGTGGAAACTCCGGAGTTATCGCCAGAAAGTTCTTTTGGGGCTGGGTTTTCTGGCAAAGCTTCAGCCGGTGGGTTATTCGCGGGAGTATCCCAACCTAGTCAGGCTTCGAATCAACCGTCACGGCAATTATTTGGAGAAGTTCGGAAACCTTTTCTACCCCCAGCGCCTTCGGCAAACCGCGAGTTCCTCAGGTCGCCTAGTCCAGTACGAAATGGCGCCCCGAGGAGTTTGTTCAAACCGCAAGCTCCTGGCAGCACTCTCGCTGCACGTAAAGCTTCTCTCAGTGATTTAGCGAAACGTGAAAATCAACTTCGACAGCCTTCGGCACAGGCTATCGAGGAAGCACAAGCTCAACAGAAACTCGAAGCGCGGCGACAACAGGAGGAGACACTGTCGCTTTCTGACGATGACGAAGATGAAAGGCTCCGTGCCGACCTTGCTCGGCCCATAGAGCCTGTGCCTACCCTCGATCCTTTCCTCCCTCATCAAGACTACACTGGCCAGACTAGTAAGCCAGGTATCCCCGGCCAAATTGAAAGGCTCTATCGCGATATCAACTCTATGGTAGATACACTAGGTATCAACGCACGGTCCTTGTCCGCTTTCCTTATGTACCAGCAATCATCTAGTAATTCGGACTGGGTCAATATGTTGCAAGGTGATAATCCAACTGATCTTCTGGACGAGAAGCTACGTCTTTCTGAAATCGAGCAGCTTGATGATGCCCTAGTCATGCTTGCCGGCGAGCTTGAGAAACAACGAGTCCAAGGAGTGGAGAAGAAGCTCGAGGACTGTCGAGAACTATTGAGCAAAGATATACTCACACTGCGAGGTCAATGTGCTAGTATTCGGAAGGCACTGGATGCCCACACAGACTCCGCTGCAATCGTTTCCGCACCACTGTCATCTGAACAAGCAAACCTTCAGCAGGACCTTCGGACAACGTCTACTGATATTCAGGCAAGGCTAGCAGATCTCGAGTCCGCCGTTTCTCTCCTACGGGCGAAGATCGCTGAGGCCCCACGCTCTGACAGTGCTTCACGCCAGTCTGTTAAACGGCCAACAGTCGAAGCGGTCACATCAACCATCTCTACTATGATGAATATGGCTGAAAGCAAAAGCAGCGATATTGATTTCCTGGAAGTACAGCTGAAGAAGCTGGGTATTGACACGACTACGTCGCCAGCAAGCCGTGAGGGGTCGCCATTTACAACTCCTAAAAAGTCTGCGGGAAGACTCCCAACGACGCCAGGGTCCCGGGGCTCCATTGATGGTCCCGTCAGTGCATACCACACACCAGACTCTGCTGCTCGCTTCCGCTCCAGCATCAACGGGTCAGCTCGTGCTAGCCGCCTTCGAAGCGTGGAAGGCGTTGGCGATCTTGTCAGTAAAGAAGAGAGTGCGCAATGGAAGGCCAAGGTGCAACGCCGGCAACGTATTGTTGGGAATCTGAAGAAGGCAATTAGTGAGAAGAAATCGAAGGTTAGGAGTGTTGATGACCTGTAGAAGTGCATGTTTGAATTCTACTTCGTCTCTGATTCAGAATATGGACAATCCTAAAAAATAGCGGGATATGGGCGTGGGGAGCAATTGGCTATTTTCTCTGTACATAGCATTAGTCGCTGTTTGATTGGCATATCGGTCTGGATATTGACCCGCTAATGATGTTTCATTAATGATGTGATGTCTTTATAATAACCTCATACTATCACTATTGACATCTTTTAATTAGGGTGGGGAATTGCGGCCTTGATGACGGGCGTCTGACTCTGACATCATCGCCCGCAAGGTGACAACAGTTTATCACTCAATGCAACTGTTTTCCTTCATACTTGCTATTCTCCTTCCAGCCTGGGTCAATTCTTAATAGTCCTCCGGGATATAGAGAAACTTTTCGAGTCCACTGAGCTGAATTGGTTTGGTCTTAAACTGGAACCCCCCAGATCATACAAAGCTCCAACAACCCCGCCATCTCAGCGCACCCAACATGGCTCTCCAAGTCAGCGAATTCATACATTTCCAGCTCAAGTCCTCAGTAAAGCCCGAAGACCCCTCAAATGATGAAGGCCAAGCACTACTCCAACTCTTCCAAACAGCCAAGCACCAAAGCGGATATAAAAGCTCAGCATGGGGCAGAACCATAGAGGACGAAAAATCATAGTATGGGTAGTTAGTAAGTTCCACCCAGTCTTTCCTCCCGAAAATGGAAGATGCAAAATGAAAAAACCAAGGTATACTGAACACATATCGCAGACTGGGCCGACGCGCACGGAGGAATCCAACCACAAATCCTAACCCCATACCTCGAACCCAACACTCAAGTGAGCGTCATCTTCACCACGCTCACGCCGTCAATCACCGAAACTAAGTCCCTAACCACCAACCCCGTCACGGAGCTGGTCGCACTCACCTTCCCCAATTCCCTGACGCCTGAGGAGCAAAAGAAGCTCAATGCCGATCTTATTGAGTTCCGCGCTGCGCTGACAGAGAAATTACCCGAGGGTGAGAGGCCGAAGTCGTGGGCTATGGCGCAGGTGGAGAGGCCTGGTACATTGGAGCATGAGAAGAGTCCGTCTGGACAGGCGGTATTGCATCTTTTGGTTGTGGGGTGGGAGTCGGTGGATATGCATAAGGCTGCGAGGGAGACGGAGGAGTTTAAGAGGACGATTGCGCCTATTAGGGAGAAGGCGATTCCTTCTGTGCCGCCTTTGGGGATGAAGCATGTTTCTTTCAAGAAAGTTTGAAGTGGTTGTGGATGGAGTGTGGAATGAATTACGTTAGATTGGTGATAATGTGTACAACGAATGTTGACGGACAGCGCTTTTCCATAAATTACAACTTGGAAGGCATATACCCGAAACGAATCATTAAAGTCACCATAAACAGACGACTTTTGAGCAACGCAAAAAGGAAAGAAAAAAAAAAAAAAGGAAATCCCCACATGCTCCTGGAAGAAAGAAAACAGATTAAGCAAGCTCGTAGACTCATTCCCCCGCTTAGATACGGTGCTTTTCACTTTCTGTATTGCTAGTTAGTAACAAAATATTTGAAAGAACCCAGGAGTCAAAACTAACCAAGTCGGGAGTAAAGCATATACAGAGCCATCTGGTTACACTCTTGAGTACCTGTGATAGTCACCAGACGCTCATTGCTGTTCTCCTGTGGCTCATTGATCTTGATTACACTGCCACTAAGGTGACGGATCTCGTTGATCTTAGCACCACCCTTGCCAATGATGGCACCAACCATGTCGTTGGGGATATAGATCTGCTGAGTCAGTGGTTGACCGGGCATAGCTCCGCCAACAGGGGCGACTGGGGTCGGACCACCGCGTGCGGGAGCAGCCTGGGGAGCACCGTAAGGGGCAGGCTGGTGAGGGCCTGCGCCAGCATACGGCTGAGGTGCACCACCATAGTGCATGGCAGGCTGAGCTACAGGGGCGGGAGCGGGCTGTCCATGAAGATAAGGAACGCCATAAGCACCAGCAGCAGCCCGGTTGGGGTGAGGGTGGTGGCGCTTGAAGGTATCAGGGTGACCATATTGACCGCCAGCGGGCTGAGGGACATAAGGGACAACCTGCATACCACCGGGCACAGCTCCAGCAGGCCCACCACTGCGAGTGGCATAAGCAGAAGCCGCTGGCCCGCCAAATCGTTCCGTGAGCTGCTCAACCAATGTCACAGCAACATAGTAGGTGGCAATGTGAACCGCATCCGCAACACCCAGAATTACAAGGGACCGCTCAGTGGACAGGGGAAGGCAAGCATCTGAAGCGTTGAGACGAGCGCCAGAGGCCTCTTGGATCTCGCGAATACGACCACCGCCCTTGCCAATGATGGAGCCAATAAGGATATGGGGGATCAACAAACGCAAGGGGTATGTCTTGGATTGGGCAGTGGAAGGCGCATCAAGGGGTTCATTGTTTAGGGTACGAATGATCAAACCAAAAGCCTAAAGCCCGGTCAGCAAGTCCAATTAGACTTCAGCTAAGCAACAAGGATGCATATAACCAACCTTAGCAACAGCGTCCTGTGGACCACTGACAGTCAAGATACGTTCCACTGCTCCACGAGAGTAATCGCTAACAGTGCACTTGGCGCCGGAGAGACGACGGATCTGTGATACATTCTCCCCACCTTTACCAATAACGGTAGCAGCCTCCTGGCTAGAAATTACAGCCCGAATATGGATCCAGCTTGACTCGTCTTGGGGGCGCTGCTGTTCTGATTGAGCGCCAGTTTCGGCATGGGACGCAGTGGACTGGATAGGCTGGGTCTCAGGGTGAGTGCCCTTCGCATTAGGAGCATCAGGCACAACCGTGTCGCCTTGGCCATCGGCATTGGCACTGGGCACGCCTGAGGACTCGGTCTTCACTTCCGCATACGCCTCGGACTCATCGCCCTTTACTACTTTGTCCAAAGCAGGACGCTTGGCCTCCGGTTGATCATTGGGACCTGATGGCGAGGAAGGGTCCTCCAAGGGACGCTTGGTGGATTGCAAAGCGGATGGAGAGGCAGACATATTGCTTCTCAACTGTGTAGTCTTGCTTCACTTACGCAGGAAGTCGAAGTATCAAAATAGCTTTTTCTTTTTCTTTCTTTCTGCTTTATTTGATCGACTATGTACACCAGGAGTTCCCAATAAGACTTGCTGGTGCTGGCGGTCGGGAGAGGGAATCTGGTGCTTGAAATGACTAGGAATGCTGGTGGTAATCGTGCACAGTGATGAACAAAGTGATGTTGAGGAAGGATGGCCGATGGAAGAGTGAAGATGCTGGGAATCACGGGCCTTGGATTTGAGCAGAAAGCTTCACGTATGCAAAGCTATGCTAGGAAAGAGAGAAGAAGAGAAGAGATGATCGGATCGGGCACGATAAAACGGAGAGATGTAGACGGTGATAGTGGTGGTGGTGGTGAGGATTCAGGGTCCGAACGTGAATGGGAGCTGCCAGGCTGACAGCGTGGGCAAGGGAAAATATGAGAGCAAAGTCAAGTTGCTAAATCTGTACTATCCCTTTTCCTCCAAAGAAAACACAATGTCTCTGATCGTCGCAGGGCGTAAGAACACAGAGATAGTCTGCCACGCGCCGGGCTAAAAGGGGCTTGAACAAACGCTAAAACAGCGGATAAGAGCCAAGTAACAAAGACAGGCAGTCGACTCCACCGCTGCGACAGAGTTGAAGATGCCAAGCAAAGAGAAGAAGGTGACGATGATGGATGGAGGGGAGGAAGTCGCGATGTCGCGGTGAAGAGATGAGGTTAAGGTGTGATTGAGGCGAAACGTCGGCACGGGATCACGCTAGCCTACCTTGGACATAGTCTACCTATCATTATCACGTGTGAGGGCATAGAAAACAACCCCATGCAATACATGAATACCCAAATATCTCCTTTCACATTACTTTGATTCAAAGAAGCAGGCTTTGACCAGGCTCCTGTGGCCTTGCTGGTGTGGATATTCTCAAGTGTCAACACCCAACCCGTGTTTCGTATATATCGTGCTGCACCATCACTCTATCCCAATGGATGTACCTCAGGAGACTATTGATAAGATCCAGCGTTTCGCAGTGAAACGGGAGAAAGCCGAAGAGAGTTATGATCAACAAATCAGCCCGGCCACTCTCCAGGCGTATAATAAGAAGCTGGATGATACCCTGAAAAATCTTCAAGACCAAGTTAAACGCCAAGAAGATGACTTGCGCAAGGTATGTAAGCCGAAAAACATATAAAAACACAGACGCGATACTGATGCGCGCAACAGCTCCGCTCGGTCAACGCGGTTGATTTTTCGAAGATCGGCGCGGACCCGTGGTCTCGCGTTTCGCAAGTTAGAAGAGCCAAGAAAGCATATGACTCCCTCCTGCGATCAGAAACAAAGCTCCCAAGCTCTGGGTCTCCTCTGCCATCCTTACTTGCGGTCGAGGAAATATCTCGGCTGGTCAATGAGAGCAAGTTATCTGTCAGGATGACAGCAAACAAGCTTTCGACCAGCCGCCAGCGTTTGAAAGTTGAAGAGGCAAATTTGCGTGATGCCCAAGCCATCAATGATGGACTGCAAAAACGGATAGCTAGTATCCATGAACAACAAGCCCAGAAAGAGCAGAAGTCGCCATCCCAACTAGCACATGATCTTGTCGATCAACAACAAGAAAAAAAGGAAGAGCTTGACAAGGCGACGGAAGAGCTAAATGTCTCTCTCCATAACTTTATTGATGAAACTTTGGCGCCCATGCTCGCTGCAGAAGATCTCGGTGGTCCAACTGTGGGAGATGAAATGAGCGTTTCTGATGAGACATTGGAGAGAGGCTATACAAGCCATGGTAAGCCCAAAAAACCGAAAGCTTCGGTAGCGAGCCATGATAGCGGCCAGCGTCGCATAGATGAACTCGTCAGGGGCCAAACATCTCAAGGAGATAATCAAGAACAGAACCGGGCCAATCGACGCGAGACAGCAGCTACTGATATGCATGAGCTGCTCGCCTCGTTACTCGATGCAGGTACCTCCTACATTGATCTTCCCCGAGAGTCTGCCGCCTCCCGATTCCTTGTAAGAGCCAAAGTAGCTCAATTCCATCCACGCGATGCCAGACGCTTGAGGTTGATTGATTTCGGGCGTTCGTTGAACGATTGAATGGCTGCTCTAAATAGTTATTTTGATGCACAGTCCGACTTTACCAGACTCCAGGAATTACCAATTAATATCCTTGTGGGACATATACGAATTAAGACTATATACGGTTATAGTTGCAAAGAGTTAAGAGAAAGAATGTATGAAAGGACGTGCAAAAAGTCCAGTCACATGCGCTCAGTACGAGTACATATTCACATTATCGCTTCGTCAAGTCTTCATGATATTAAAGAGGGTAGTCAGAATTCCAATTCAACGCCGGTGGATGCACCCGATGCAGCAGACCATTAGTGAAATTATGCCCTCACGTTCTTCAATATACCATCAACATCATCGTAAAGAACATGAAAACTGATATATAAAGATGCTAGATAGGCATCATTCCTATCCGGGACATAGGTTCTTTTGCTTTTGACCCTTTCCGGGTAGGACGACTATCAGTGCGGTTGGCTGTTTTCTTTCTAGGTCTTGGGGTTTTGCTCCGGGCTTTAAATTCGCCACCACTCTTTCGACGAGTTCGCTTGGTGGCTTGACGCTTCCGAGGTTTGGAGCTGCTAGCTCCCCCAGGGCCATCAGACGAGTCATCTTCTGGAATTGGTTCGGTGGTGAAATATCGACTAGAGATGACATTGTTATCTATATCGAAGTTTGAGGCATCGTCCAGAATATCACCATCATCATACTCTTCACTGTCGCTGGTGAGATTGATGACATTGTGATGGTTGGGGTCCGGAACAACACCATCGGCGTCATCACGATCCTTTTTCAACTCTGCATAGCGGCGTTGCGTATCTCGTACGAGCTTGAGTATCTGAGTACCGTACCGATTCACCTTGTCTTTATCTATTCCGGGAATTCTGGAAAGCTCTGACAGGTCTGCTCTGACATCAGTATTGCATCGTCTTACCAATGGCTGGCGGTGATACTCACCTTTGGGGAAGGCTATGACCATCTCCCGCAGCGCCCCGTCTGTGAATGGTTGATTGCGAAGGCCTTTCTTAAGTACAAGCTGTTAAAGCAAGTCAGCAATGTATTTCTAACTCAGGAAGCTGAAGAGCAAGCCTCACATCTTGGCAGTAATTCTTTGCATAAACCATGAAATCCTCCGCTACAGCTTTATGGAGAGGGTCAAGACGGTCAAACCTGGAATCCTGGGTAATGGGTGGGCCTGGGGTAAACGGTTTCTCACGCCTCGGCTTGCCAGCTATACGAACTCTCTCGAAGCCGTCACTGTCTCTATCACTATCAGAGCTTTCTTCGTATCGATAACGGGCTAAGCGACGATGGTTCGCTGCTTGGACAGGCGATGAGACGTTCGTGGATTGAGGATGATAGTCCTTCCGAGATCCATTCCGAGGGGGTTGAGCTTTTTTGTTTGGTGAAACTCTAACATGGAGCTGTAATCGACGCCGGCCACTCTCAAAATCAGGGGCACGACGTCCAAGCTTGATGTACTGCACAGCAAATCTACTGCCGTTGACCACATTTTCTTCAAACAGAGCTCCCTCGCTAAGAAGGTGATAGAAAAGTCTTTCCGCCTCTCCCATTTCTAACGAAGAACCCTCTCCGTACCCTGGGGCCTGTCTGTGCTGAGGAGACCTGAATTTCTTTGCACTTCCTCGGAAAATGTTCACACAGTACGACAATGTCACATTCTCCTTTGACTCCTCGAAGTATCGAACAACCTTGATTACGGAGGCCGCGTGTTGAGTAAAGTCACGGAGCTCGAAAACAGAGTCTGACTTGCAATTATCACAGGAAGAATTGCAGTCCTCTCGGCGAAAATACTCATTGAAATATGCAAGAATTTGGACTCTTCGGCAGTCACTTTTGTTTTCACAAAACTGTACAACATTGCGTAGCATTTGTCGCTGTCGGTTCTTCTGTTGCTTACTGCCATCGCTGCTGTCAATCATGCGATTAATGGTCATCGTGTCCCTGTAACAGTAATACATATAGCAACCTGAACGTTTTCCGTCTCGGCCAGCTCGGCCAGTTTCTTGGTAATAGCCTTCTAAACTCTTGGGGAGGCTATGGTGGATCACGAAGCGTACGTCCGGCTTATCAATACCCATACCGAAGGCGATCGTCGCCACAATGACATGGCTCCTCCCAGTCTGCCAGCGTTGTTGAACTTCGGCTCGCTCGTCCGGTTTCATACCGGCATGATAATGTTCTGCTTTAATGCGGTAATCGTCCCGAAGACTCTTGGCGACCTTCTGGCATGTATCACGCGAAAGGCAATAAACAATGCCGGATTTGTTGTTATAAGACGATTTAATCGTATCGGCTATGCTAGCCAGAAGCTCGTTACCCTTCTTCTTCTGCCTCACTTCGTATGTCAAGTTTGGTCTGTTAAAGCTCTGGGTAAAGATATCGCAACCTTCCATTTTAAGGTTGTGGATAACGTCTACCTTCACGTTCTCTGTGGCAGTAGCTGTTAGAGCCATCATTGGAACACCAGGCAGCTGAGCCCTGAGCCCTCCAAGTTCCTTATAATCAGGACGGAAATCATGGCCCCATTGACTCACGCAATGAGCTTCATCTATCACGATGCGTGCAAGTCGACGGCTATTATTGAGTCTTTCCAAGTTACGGATGAGGGTTTGATTCTTGTTGACCATCTCGGGCGTGATATACAACAACTCGATGTGATCTTCCGCAGCTGAGCTCGATAGTGTGCTCATTATCCATTGCCGTTCCGTCTTCTGCGTCTCACCGTTCAGCAGATACGCCTTTATCTCGAGCTGGCGCAAATGATAAACTTGATCTTGCATTAAACTTAACAATGGCGAAATGACTATTGTGACTCCTCTGGTCGTTCCACTCTTGACGATAGAGGGTAGCTGGTAACACAATGACTTCCCTCCACCTGTCGGCATTAGAACAAACGTATCCTTCCCACTCAGAGTGGCATCGATGGCTTCGAGTTGGTTAAGGCGGAACCCTCGAAGATGGAAACGATCCTTCAAAACACTTTTAACATCCTTTGACCACTGGTGATGATGCCATAGGCCATTGTGGGTCTGCGACTTCTGTGTGGTAGGGGTGCGGGCAACGTTTCCGGAGGTTTCAGCAAACACCTTGCGTGTCTGGAGACTATTACTAGCTGTTGAAACTGAGTAGCCATCGTCAAGAAAACCCGCAGCTTCAAGCATTTCCTCATCATCAGCGTCCAAGTCAAATTCATCAATATGTTCTGCCGGACGCGGAGATCCCATGGTACGAGTAAAAGTATGGTCATTATCACTGATCATTGGTTCATCATAGTCAAAGGCTTTAGGCCAAGAGCCGGCGCTCCTGAACGATGAGTTTGTTGTCCGTGATGGTATGTCGGCTTGAGAGACACGAGAGGTCGGCCCTGAGAGAGGTCTAGAAAATGCAGTCTCAATGGTTTCGGGATCGTGAGGGTGGACTGTTTTCTTAGGGTTAGTGTTTCTAACTGATCGAGGGGGCGAGTGCAAACGCTCTGAGCCCTGCTGAGACGGCCCTTTACTTGAAGAGAATGAGACCGGTAAAATATCAGCTTGCACAAGCAGGCGTTCTATATCAGACTCAATCTGCTCTAGCTGCAATGTAGCTCTTCGGCTTTGTTCGAGCTCCTCCGGCATTGTATTCGGGCTACCACC